GGGTGTGGGTGTGGGTGGGTGTGCGTGGGTGTGGGTGTGGGTGTGGGTGGGTGTGGGTGGGTGTGGGTGTGTGGGTGTGGGTGGGTGTTGGTGTGGGTGTGGGTGTGTGGGTGTGGGTGTGGGTGGGTGTGGGTATTGAAAATTTTATTCTTTAGCCACACCCCACACCCACACCCACCCTAGTTTTCTGATGGATACCATCGTATCCTGTTGTGGGATTAGACTGGTTGTGATTAATTGAAAACGGCCGGATCTGGGCTCCTCAACCGAATCGGAAACGGAAGGAATATGTATCGGATCTTGCTCCCCTGAAAATACTTCGGAACCTTTCTCAGGAACCTTGCGGGAAATGGCAGCAGGATCCTGACCTGACACCCGGTTACAGGAATCAACGGGGAATAAGCAGGAGCCGGTAGCCCGAACCGACTCAGCAATTCTGCTTCCATGGTTTTGCCGAAAATTCGCCGGATCCGGATGTTTCCCACCGTACGGTTTCGACCTGGGCATTCACGGGATAATTAGCCGAAAGTAATACAAACATACTTTTCTCAAACTCCATTACAATAAAAACAAACATCAAAATCAATTTCCCATATCATCTGATTAAAGCCTTCATCTTCAATGACGACTTTTTACATGACTGGATGCCTGCCGATCAAACAATTCGAATAAAATCAATTTTTATCGCGATACTACACCAAAATACGAAAATAGACCGGAAGCAACGAAAGCCATCTGATGCGACTCTTGAGAAAGGTCGAAATCGCGGTCGTGGCTTCTCAATTTTTACACACCCTCACCCTCAGCTAATCTACTAGTCGAATACAGTTATGCATTTCTTTGGCTTTATTCAAGTACGTAGTGCTTAACTATATTAATTGTTTATCAACGAATATATAAGTAGTTTAGGGCATATATTAGAAGTTCAAAAAGACGTAGAATCTTGCTTTGTCAAGAAAAAACATATGAGCATAGGTGCACATTGGCCGATATTTTCTGTTCAATTTTTAAACTAATATGATGCTTCAAAAGTTGTTATTAAGTGCTGGCAGAATAATCTGACACATTCCGGTGATCAAGTTCTTTTTTCATTTGAAGTAAAGTACAAGGACAAAAAATACATGATGTCCAACAATCTTCAAACAATGAACCCTATATAGCGATAAGAAAATAATCTTTTCATCGAAATTTTCAAAACAACCTAGAGAAACTTACTTTAATACCATATACCATTCGAATTTTAGTTCGCAATGATTGCGATGACCCCGGAAGCGCGCACGAACAAAAATGTTCACCTGCACGGGCATGTAAAAGACCTTCACAGATACATGCACAACAGCAATAAAGAATACCTGAAAAATATTATGAAGTCAATCTTCAAACAGAAGTCACTACTATCAGTGTTACCATCTGCAACTGGATTACACGATTCGAGCAACTCAATGTTCCATTCAGCACTGGATGGCTTGAGCTTCTCGTCAGCAGTTGGCTGAGAAGTAATAGTAGTACTACAATGAAAACAATGTAAAAGATAAGATGTGCATATACAGGGATGGCGCAATCTCTGAAACTTGAGATAGATGTAAAACTGTGTAGAAAATGAAAGCTTTTGCTTTTTATGAAGTTTGAAAAACTCATGGGTCGTGAATAAAGACTGAATAACGATGCTTTCAAACTTAAAAACCTTCAGCACTCTAAAAAAAAGGTTTTTTACGGAACTTCAAAGGTTTAGGACTCTTTTACCGAACGATTTTAAGCTAAGTAGAATGAAAATTGTTTCGTAATTTTTTCCGAAAAACCTTTTTAAGTTTAGTATTTTTAAGAGAGTTCCAAAGTTTTCCAACGAAACCTTTCGAGTTTCGTGAAGGATCCTGAGAGGTTTCGTGGACTTTGTACCGAAGTTTGAAAGTTTCGGAAATGTGTTATGAAGCTATTCATGGTTCGGTAGGTTATATAAAGGTTTCGTAACCATCGTAAAAAACGAATCATTGCTTCTGAAGTTGTCCAACGAACTGTCCCTGGTTTCGGATCAAGTCGAATGGTTTGATGGTCTTTTTACGAAACGGTTTGTATACTTCTCGACTAAGCAATGGTTTCGGGTGACTCTTACTAAACCTTTCTTAGTATTCTGTACTACACTCTCAACCAATAGGTGCTCCACCGAACTTTCAACGTTTAGTGCTGATTTGTGAAACCATTTAAAGTTCTTTGGTATGCGAATCGTTCCGGAATCTTTGTACGCAACCTTTTTCAGTCTCAAAAATTGCAGAAGGTTTTTACAGTTAGCGGCGAAACCCGTAAAAGTTTCGTTTAACGTTTACTGAAATTTCGCGAGTTTCGTACTCTATGAAAAAAACCTTTAGTGGCTTCACATTGTATCTAAAAGTTCCGAAGAAATTCTGCCGAACCACTCATAGTTTCGTAAGTACTATAAAAGTTCGGCACAAATTCTAAGAAACCAGCCATGGTTATGCAAACTATATACTAAACCATTACATAATTTACCAAGTTATAAATGGTTCCGTACATCCTGTTCTGAACCTTTCGATGTTATACGAAGCTGCCAATAGTTTCGTACACTCTGTGCGAAACCATCGGCAGGTCACTATAGCATATAAAGTCACCGTAAAACTTCTGCAAAACCCATGCAAAGTTTCGCATTGTTCTAAAAGTTTCCCATAAATACTGAGAAACCATACATAGTTTGGTGGAAGATAGAGTAAACCATAACAGCGCTTACGAAGCGATGAATGACTTTGTGCAAATTATTCTGAACCATTACATACTGTGCAAAACCATTGATAATACTACTGAACCAAGAAAGATTCCATATATCTGTTACGAACCGGTGGAAAGTTTTGGGCAACATGCGCGGAACTATAAGGCAACTAGTGGAGCTACAACTGGCTTCGTGAAACTTATAGAAAACCTTTATGTGATCTACCAAAGTGCTAATAGTTTCGCAACGTATCTACTGAATCTTTAGAAATTTCCCGAAACTATTATTGGATTCGTATAAGATGGACGAAGCCATTACACGACTTTTGAAATCATCAATGGTTCCCTAGCATTTCTACGGAACCGTCAGCCTCAACTTTGGATCCATGCATAGTCTCGTAAAAGATATGCCGAACAATTTCATCATTCACAACACTACCAGTGGCTTCGTATAAAACATACAGAACCCACGGGTCTTCTATGAAACTATCAAAAGTTCTACATTATGTATTCAGAACTCTTTCAAGATTTCTGGACTTAATGATGATATAGTATGTCTCCTAAGTTTACCCAACTAGGTATAGGATATCTAACAGAAGGATATTTCCGAATTGGTATAGGATACCTCAGGGTACCTCCAAGCTGGCATAGGGTATCTCTGGGATACATCCAAATAGGTAGAGGGTACTTCTCGGGTATATCAAAGTAGGTATCGGGTAGAGCAAGGTTTTTTCTGATAGAGTGCTTTATTTCTGTTGTACAGCGATACAATTGTCCAATTTAGGAGTAAGTTTGTTACGTTGAATATATGATTCTTTTTGTTTTATAGTCCAATGCAGTGTTGTTTGTGTGTTAGCGTTATTTACCGAAGTAATATATTATTCGTTGGTCCTGAATAAATTTGCAATCTTGATAAGAAAGTAAGTGTGTTTGTTTTACTCATTTTCTTTGTCTTAAGGAGAGCATAGTCGCACACGTGAGCTAATTATTGATCTTCTTTTCGCATCTGAGGAAGCAGGTCTTGAAAATGACAATAGATTTCGTTCGAGTATAGTCTCTCTACAGAAAGAAGATTTCAATGAGATAAAATAACCTCCTGACGGTTGTGTTTCATAAGATCTTTTCTCCACCGTGATCCTTCGGTTAGTGGACTTTATTTGAGTGTTATAGAGGAACTCGAAATAGCCAAGAATTCGACCTTCAGTTCGCCCGTAGTTTGCTAGGTGGCTCTGAGTAACGCATGAACACTATCCAACAAACGAAGAGCCATAAATCCTTCTTTCAAATTATCTTGAGATATTTCTTGAAATTCAACTTACAGTTCAACATCTATTTCTACATTAAGTGAGGAAGCATGTAGCAACCATTTTCAAGATGGCCCACTCCATTTATGAGGAATCTTCCACAGAAGTTTACTACAAAAGCATCTATGTTTTCCAGATATTAAAAAAACTTCTCAAAAAGAATGGCATTTCTAAGTATTTCATCTGCTAACACCCATACTGTTAGAGTCCAGTATGTCTTGGAAACGCGAATGCTCTAGAAATAAAACTTCTGTGGAAGATTCCTCATAAATGGAGTGTGGCATTCAGAGATGTGCATGGCGGTGCTGCCACCACGGTGGCAACGGTAGCGGCAGATTTTTTGCGGAATCATCGCGGCAGCGACAGCGGCAATTTATCTTCTTTGGCTGTCGCGGCGCGGCGCGACAGCGGTTGAAATTTTCGAAAAATTTCTCCGATTTTTTTCGAATAAATCTTAAGGCTTGGAATTACAATTCTGTCATGATTCAGATTAGTGAGAATGTTTTTCTCGATCAATAGACTTTTAAGGCTATTCCACCGACTAACAGAAAGAGGAATATTAATATTGTGTAAATAAAAGATGATATTACTTGAAAACATGTTCATAGCAATTATAGAATATGTATGCTGCTCTGTTTTAATTGACGTGCGTTTTTATCATTGTCAACCTCGTTTCATAGGCACAATAAAACAATATATGTTAAAAAAAGTTGATATGCGTTTTTAATACTGAACATCTTTGAATAATATACTTTGCACCTCAATTGGTTGTCCCTCCTTGATATTTTTATGTTTTTATTGCTATACTTCTTTTATTTATTAACCTACTATATATAGGAAGAATCGACTTGTATCGATTTTCTTTCTTTTTTATATCAAAATGGGCTCGCCATTTTGATATTGGCGAAAGACAATAATTAACTTGGAGCTTGTTAACATATACGTAATAGACTGTAATATCTTAGATCTCTAAAATGATGTTCTCCACATCTATATAGTATTTTATTAAGGTCTAAATTTCCGTCGTTTGTATCCTTTTCTAAATCGAAATATTAATATAGTAAGTGGAAAGCACCTATCTAATTTAACCATTATATTTCTTTCACGATGTGTAAAGACACTAGGTTACCATATTTATTTCAATTACGTGTTGTATACTTATAATTCAGTCGAAACTTTCATATATTTATCACTGCCATTCATATTATCTCATATACGTATTTGACTAAGGAGAAAAAGTAGATGCTAATGGATCCTAAGAACCAAAAGAATCCCTAAGAATTCATCAGAATCCGTGTTGTTAAATTGATAACAAATTGGCATAGAACCAATTGGCTGTTTATGGGTTACATTAAACTCCGATAGATTGATTAAATTAAGCCCCCCCTCTCAAAAATTGATCTCGGCCCAGGAACGTTGAAATAAGCTGAAATTTGGAGGATATGTTGGGGACGATGAGGGGAATCTATGATAAAATTTTCAGCTAAAAACTATGTCATTCGAGGGAGATATTGACCAAATAAGGTCGAAAAATAGCTGATTTGGCATCCAAAATTTCTCTTTAAGGGTCCATCCAATATATTAATATTTTTTTTTATTTGAAAGAGCGTGTGAAGACACAGGGCAGTACGCCGCCCTTTTTTTGAAATAGCCCCTTTTTAACCCGAAAAAGGGGGATACAAGTTCAATGACTAAAAAATTTATCAAATAACGGCGGTCAAATTATATTAGCGGCTTGATATTTATTATAAAGGGGGAGTATTTCAAAAAAAAAGGGCGGCGTGCTGCCCTGCGTCTTGACACGTTCTTTCAAACAACAAAAAATATTAATACATTGGAGGGACCCTCAAAGAGAAATTTGGGATGCGCGTTTGAGAAAACGAAAAATGAGAAAAAACAAAAAAAGATTTCTAGAAATCTCAAAAAACCGCTGGTTTTTCGAAAACAGGGTTCCAAAAGCCCCGAAAATTTTCTAGGAAAAATGAAGTTTTCAGGAAAAGTTTTTATCAATATTGAAACAACAGACGACGGGCTATCTTCCTATGGATTTATCTCGATTTTGACAGTTCTCTGGGAAATTGACTTTTTTGAAGAGGGGGGGGGGGGGGGGGGGGCTTAAAGTGGATTCTGATCGATTTTTGAAGATTCCGACAATTTTATTACGCACTCTATTAATATTCTTTAGAAATCTACAGGATTCATAGAATCTATCGGGATCTGTTTTTCATCCTTGCATTTGGCACAATAATTCATGAGCTTTATAATATATATTTTTTATTTTAGAGACGAACACATTTTCTAGACTGTAGTTTTTGTATTGTCGCGGCAGCGGCGCGTTACATTTTAATTTGGACGCGGCGCGGCATCATGTTTTCTAAACGATGACGGCACGGCAGCGGCGGATTTCCAGCCGCGATGGACATCTCTAGTGGCATCTTGAAAATGGTTGCTACATGCTCCCTCACTTAATGCAGAAATAGATGTTGGACTATAGGTTGAATTTCAAGAAATATCTCAAGATATTTTGAAAGAAGGATTTATGGCTCTTTGTTTGTTGGATAGTGTTCATGCGTTACTCAGAGCCACCTAGCAAACTACGGTCGAACTGAAGGTCGAATTCTTGGCTATTTCGAGTTCCTCTATAACACTCAAATAAAGTCCACTAACCGGAGAATCACGGTGGAGAAAAGATCTTATGAAACACAACCGTCAAGAGGTTATCTTATCTCATTGAAATATATTTTCTGTAGAGAGACTATACTCGAACGAAACCTTTTGAGAACCGCATTGTAGAGGTTTTGTACGGAACTCCCTGTACGAAACCTTTTTGAACTTTTCCAGAAGAAGTTTGGTACGGAGCCTTCTGTGCGAAACCATTTGTAATTTTTCAGGTACAGACTTTTTACCGAACCATTTGTGCGGAACCATTTTTTCCATTTCAAAACACGGAAATGTGCACGGAACCTTATTTCTACGAAACCATAAAAGGTTCTTCCTGCGGATACAGGGGAAAAACCTTTTTTGATTTCGTAAAAAAACCCTTTTTTAGAGTGAAAATATTACGAGTTTCTTATCAATTTAGCAGTGCTATACTTCCTCGGCTCACCCACTCCCGGCCGAGTCATGTTGTATATCTATATCGATCTGTAGTCGAAACACGAATACATTTGATACCTCATATTAAACAGAGAATTGCGCAACTAACCTGGGGTTGATGTATACAGATAAGTTAAAAGCAATATTTAATATAATCTTAAGATTTTTAATCACTTCTATATATGAAAATTTTTATTCAAGTTGTCTATTTTAAATTTTATATAGAATAATTTTTAAAATTCAAGTAAAAATTGTTAGCTTAATTTATTTAACTACGTAAAATGAAAATATCTCTCTGAAATTTCATTAGAAGATTGATTAAATGATAGATGAGATTCTTACGTGATTGCCTTGAGATTTAGTGTCATATTTCAGGTTTCTAAGTATTATCTAGAATTTTTCTTATGGATAAGGTGTAATGAAAATTTTCTTTGCGAGGCGCTTTGTAAAATAGACAGTCGTATTATATAATTCTAAAATAGAAACATGAATATATGAAAATGTTGAGTTGAGCAAACTCGAAAATTCCGACAACAAAGAAACCGAGAATCGGTTCCTGTCGGATGCTTATAGGAATCAGAGATGTCCACCGCGGCTGAAAATCTGCCGCTGCCGCGCCGCGGATTTAGAAAAAAAAACTGCCGCACCGCAATCGTGCCGTGACAGTTTATAAAAAAATGTTGCCGCGGCGCTGCCGCGTCGCGATGACTTATAAAAACAACGTTGCCGGGCAGCTGCCGTGATGAATTATAAAAAAAACGTGCCGCCGCCGCGCCGCTGCCGCGGCGGTTTACAAAAAAGTGTTTCTAATTTCACTGCTGCGACTATATTTCACCAGAGATATTGGTACTAGTCCATCAAATTCATTCAGTCTAGGGGTGTTTCCTTTGTAAACCCTGAAATTCTATTAAATTCATGCAGTTTTTCAATGTTCCCCAAAAATTCCTGCCGCTGCCGCGATGGTCTTTTAAAAAACCTGCCGCTGTCGCTGCCGCCACCGCCATCGCGGCAGAGGCAGCGGCAGCGCCGCGATGGACATCTCTGATAGGAACCAATGGAATTCTGCGTAATAGCGAGCCAAATTTCATGAGAAGAAGGAACATCAGCTCTTTTCCATAATCTCTTTTTATGATCGAGATCACAGAAAGCTGTCGGTACTCTTTTTACATTCAGTTTACTATTATACTGAACTGTTGAAAAGACTACAAAAACACAAGAAATTCAAATAAAACGATAAACAGAAACACTTATTACACTCTCAACAAAAGCAAAGAAAATAAAGAGTACGCAAAAACAAAATGGCTGAATTTTTGAAAATGAAGCGATTAGTGAAAATATATTGTTAAAAACAAAATAATAACATACACTACAAAATTTCAAATAAAATTAAAGTAAATATAAAGCAGAAAAAAAGAATATGAGAAAAGTAACATGAAATGTATTGTAAAAGAAATGTACTAAACCAAATAAAAGCATAAGAAATTAGTAGCAGCTAAATCATATATATAAAAGTAAATAAAAAAGACGAAGACATAAAAAAAGAAATGTATACTCTAAGCAAGAGTAAAAAAAGAAAAAAAAAAGAAATTATACTTTCAAATCAACATAAACTATAAATCGGATGTAAACAGAAAACAAAAGTGAATCATTCGGAAAAAAATGAATCTAAAATAAATGTAATATAAGTTAAGCTAGACATACATGCCTAAATGAATATTTCGAAAGAATGATTAGAAAATAAAAATTTCATGATTTTGGAATGAAAGAAATTTAAAAAGCAGAGAAATTCTGTATCGAAATAAGCATAACGATAAAAATAAAATTTCAAAATATGAATGATTTGTGTGAGAAAATAGAAAAATCAGTATGAAAAAGTAGAGATCGTATATTAAGGATGCTCTAAAAGTTTATAAGCTAAATTTAATCGGAAAAAGTCATCTAAGATGAAAATAACATGTAAAATAGAAATATATTAAGGAATGAAGAGGAAATGAATGGAAGTATTAGTATAAAGTGATGTATGTAACAGCAGAATACGAATGAATGGAATGTTGAGATTATTTTCTCTTGCTCAAAGTTCTTTTCGTTTTATTTACTAATGTATAATTATGGTGCAACAATGAGGAGGAAAAAAAAGCGACGTGAATTTCATTTTTTGAATATCATTTGAAAGTAATGAAGACGAAGATGGAGACTTTATTGATTTACTTCTTTTTACCTTTCTCAGATTTATCGGATAAAGAATTACGTAATTTTGGTTGAAGTAGTTCATGATAAAATTCCTCAAAGGGAGTGCTATCTATTAGATATTGCTCACAAACATAAGGAAAGTTAGTCTAAGACTCGTGTTTTTCCAGTAACTATTTGCTTAACAACTTCTGGAGTGTCTAACCAATAGTGTTCGATACAGAATCTCGAGCTCTGTCGAACGGTATCACTTTCAATATGGATCATTGGCCGAAGATGTTAGCTTTCTTGCCAAAATAAAGTCTCCATCTTCGTCTTCATTACTTTCAAATGATATTCAAAAAGTAAAATTCACGTCGCTATTTTTCCTTCTCATTGTTGTACCATAATTAAGCATTAGTAAATAAAATGAAAAGAACTTTGAGCAAGAGAAAATAATCTCAATATTCTATTCGCCCTTATTCTCTTGTTACATACATCGCGTTATCCTAATACTTCCATTCATTTACTCTTCATTCCTTAACCTATTTCTATTATGAATCACATTTTCATCTTGCATGACTTTTTTCGATTGAATTTAACTTATAAACTCTTATAACATCTTTCGTATCTGATGTGTACTTTTTCATAGTGACTTTTCTATTTTATCATACAAATAATTAATACTCTGAAATTTGATGTTGATTTTCTAATCATTCGTTCGAAATATTCATTTAGGAATGTACATCTAGCTTAACTTTCACCTCGTTTTCTGTCTGCATTTCATTTATTGTTTATGTTCCTTGAAAGCATAATTTCTTTTTTTTTGCTTTTATTAATCATGTTTACACTGTACATTTCTTTTCTATGTCTTCGTCTCATTTTCTTTACTTTCGTATAGAAGATTTAACCGCTACTGATTTCTTATGCTTTTATTTGCTTTAGTACATTTCTTTTACGATACATATTATGTTACTTTTCTCATATTCGTTTTTTGCTGCTTTGACATTTGATTTGATTTTATTTGAAATTTTATAGTGTATATTATTCTTTTATTTTTAACGAATTGTTGTCACTAATTGCTTCATTTTCGTAAATGTAGGCGTTTTGTTTTTGCGTACTATTTATTTTCGTTGCTTTGTTGAGAGTGTATTAAGTTTTGTGAAACACGATCTGAAAGGAGTGTCGAAGGAGTGCCAGCCCAATTCAACCTCGAATATAAATGGAGAAGAGGAAAAGAAAAACTACGAGATAAACCTAGGAATAGATTTAGTTTTAGTTTAACTTTCCGATATGTGCAAGATATAAACACATATATACCCCTAAAACCAAGCCCATACTCCAAGGTACACAATAAAGACACCACTCCCGGTTGCCCTTTCGAGCTACCTTTTCGAGGTACCCTTCCAAGGACCCCTTCGAGGCACCCTCCCAAAAGCCCTTTTTGGGTATCCTTCTAAGGTCCCCTTCTGGGTAGCCTTTCGAGGGCCGTTTCTAAGTAACGTTCTGAGGGCCCTTTCTGAATATCCTCCGTACGGTCCTCTCTGGGTACGCTTTCAAGGACCCTTTCTCGGTACCTTTTCCAGCTACCCCTTCAGGGTACCTCTTCCAGGTACTCATTCCAACTATCCCTTCCAATTACCCCTTACCCGCACCCACATTTGAG